GTGCTGTTAAAAAGGTGCTGTTTGGGCTTGTGGAGTACCTGAGGGTGTCTGGCATGAAGGGGGAAGTTGAACTATTTCATATGTATAAATGAGATTCCTGGATGTGTGGGGTCAGCACAAGACTCTATCTAGTGGATTCAATCTACTTTTGGCCCAAAATGGCCAAATGCACTACGCTAAAACTAGTGAAAGATCTTTCGAGTGTTTTGAGTTTGAGAGAATGAAAGTTATGAGAGGATTAGAAAGCTATGAAAACTAATCAAGAGAGATCCACAATCAAAGGATCGTAGATCTGAACTCCCGCGGAGGACTGTAGAGTGTGATAGATAGTCGATAGCAATCCTACCACTCCACGATCAAAACGGAACGCGTGAAGATTCGTCTAGCATTTATCTAGTAGCGTGGAATCTCTCCACGGCTAAATTCTAGCGCGATGTTTCATCGCAACCTAGTATGACTAGCGGTCATGAGAACCCTGTCTCAATGACTATTCACGAAGACTCAGTCATGAGTCGAACTCAAACCCTATCTAGGATCGAGTCGCGAATAAGGCTAAGACCGGTGTATTGCATTCGCCCCTGACAAGGTCACGGAGGCAGACATCAGTCGGAAAGGAGAACATATGAATTAAAGTCGGGGCACTCTCCGGAGATTGGATGTAGACATTGCGTCGCACGATGGCAATCCTACAAGGATCAGCTTGTATGGGTGTAAATACCTTATTTCCAAGTCTGGTAGACTGTGCCGCTATTGGCGGTAGTATTCGGAGCCGTTTTGGCCATTTTGGGCCAAAATCGTAGATTGAATCCACTAGATAGAGTCTTAGTGCTGACCCCACCATCCAGGAATCTCATTTATACATATGAAAAGTTAGTTCAACTCTCCCCTTCATGCCAGACACCCTCAGGTACTCTACAAAGCCCAAACAGCACCTTCGATACCCTTTGGTTAACCACTGATATAACCAGTGGTTACCGGTTACTAACCTATAAAATAACCTATAACCAATGGGAAATAACCAATAACCAGTAACCAGTACCTTAGATTGATTGGTTATATAACCAATAACCAATAACCAGTACCCCCAATTGAGTGGTTGAATAACCAATAACCAATAACCAATAACCAGTACATAGTTGATTGGTTAGCTAACCCTGGTTCCGAGTCATCGCCAATAATCGTCTGAAAAAGTGGGGGCTTCGCCAATAATCGTCTGACAGAAACTGTCTGACATAATCGTCTTAAGACAGTTGTCAGACGATTATAAGTTAATTGTCAGACGATTAGAGTAATCGTCTTATGACTACCTGATATGACTTAAGCAACATAAAATTCACTCCAAAAATCCAGTTTTTACACAAATAAAGAACCAATTGGAGACCTTTACCTCGAGGTGCTGCTAGTATCTTTCAATAGGCTAAATAATGGTCCATGAATGTAACAATGTAACGGCCATCTGGATGACGGGTGTGGCATCACCCTTATCTATCTCACAAGAGGAGAAGAGAACTCCATAGCTCCTCCTCAAGGAGTACCTATAGCCTTCGGGAACCCCCATTAGGTTGTTGCGCAGGAGCACAGGCTATTAATAGAGGCTAGCTGTACCGGTAGGCTTGACACTTGACATCTTTCTGCTTTCAAAAATCGAAACACACTTTACTCTTGGCTGGAGGCTGGAGACCATTGGGCGTGGTGTGTAGATCCCACAATGGTCAGCACGTCCTGTACTAGCTAGTACTGTAGTAGACGCTTTGAAAGCATCGTACTGGCCATCCACGAAAAGTCAACAAGGAATAATTGAATGGGTAGACACTCGCTCCGTAAACGTCCAATGGTACTATACCGGATATAAGTGCAAGGCAAGACAAGGAACACTGCGTCTGACGCGGGGGAGAGTTTGCTTGAAGCTCGCAGCTTTGCCAACACGGACGGTATCGGTATGCCCCCACAGTGTAAGTTGTGACGAAAAATTTACCAGACTACACATCCCTTCTTCATCGACTTTTCATACTTTTGCTTGGGAGCCAAAGTTTGCTGCTGTGCGTACACGGTGCAGCAACAAGGCCATTTCCGCTGGTAATCTATCTGACCGGTGCTGCGGCCATGAAGTTGAGCAAGAAGCTTCTTTGCCTGGACCAGGCGCATTCTTATGCTGAGCTGGCCGTATGGGCGGTTGAGGCCAATAGGTACAATGCAGACATTGGACTCTAACTCCGTTCAAGCCATGGCAGGTCTAATACACGAGGACGGCAGTCGTTGGATTCGTCCCCACTGGTTGATGCTGCAACACACCATTGGTGAAATAGAGGATACTGACCTCATCGGCTGATCTAACTGAAAGTTGAGTATGGTGGTTCTGGTGTGGGACCTGCAGTTGGTCTTGGTATACCGTAGGAGCGGGGCCTGGAGATGGACCAAGGGTAAGTCCTGGTGTATGTCGTTGATTGAGGGTGGGCACAAATAAATGTTACCAGTTGGTCCCCATTCGGTCGGGGTGGATGGATTGGTGTCAAGTCTCAGCTATTTTTGGCAACCTAACGGGCTTATATTTCGCTTTTTTGGCTCCCTCTTCTTGTCGCTTGTCGTCGCCATTGATCCCAAGCCTACCTTGGTGTGGCAACAGCACAGCGATGGATGCAAACGATAGTGTGATCTTGAAAGCTCCGCTTGTGGAGGTTGGCGCACGACGAGAAGCTACCCTAGAGCGGCTTCTGTTGAAAGTGGACGCTTGTGAGGATCTTGCGATCCATGGATCCTTTGTGAAGAGTTTGGATAACGCAACGTGCCTTTGGGACCGATGCTCTTGCTCCTCGGCAACACTGAAGCACCTCATGTTGACGCGCTTCTTGACTGGATCTTTTCCGTTGCAGGCAAGCACTCTAACGTCGCTACTTCAATCATCACTGGGTCGTCAGCTGGAATCGTTGGACCTCACTGCGGTTGACGTCCATGACGACGAAGCTGGAGAATCGAGCAGTGACCAAGGTGGATTTGCCAAGGTTCTACAAGCTGTTAGAAGTCTTGGCCAACTAAAAAAATTGTGCTTGGACGATATCTTTTTCGAAGAACGGGCTCAGCAGCACCGATACGGTATTGATTCTATATTGCAGGCACTAACAGCGCCAGGATCAACCACAGCGACTCATCTCGAAGCGCTGCAAGTCGTCCAGGTCTTTCATCGCGGAGGCAACATTTCAACAGCCACAATGGAAGCAGTGTGCCGCTTACAATGTTTGAAAACGCTCAAGCTAACGGGGGTTCGGTTGCCCCACGATCTTGTGACTGCCATGACGGAGACTTTGTCGTCAAGACAAGAGCACGCACAAACGCTGGAGCATTTGCATTTGGATGCGGCCGTCATTAGCCGTGATTCCTTCGTGTGTATTGCTCGCATGTTGCAGCACAATCGCAGTATTCAAAAACTGGAATTATTGCGTCTACGTCGTGATGAATTCCTGGGGAAACCGGTCCAATCAGACCAAGGATTGGATGATGCCATTGTCCGAGAGTTTGCGATAGCTCTTCGACGCAACAACACCCTGCTCGAACTGCATGCATCACCTGTGGGGGCTGTTACAGAGGTTGGATACTCAGAAATGGAAATGTTGTTGCAACACCACAATCACACTCTGGACCAACTTGTTGCAACGGTTGGATTGAGCGCAGAACACGATGAGATTATGTTTCGGGTACAGCGACTGCTTCAGTTGCACAATTTTGGATTGCGCCAAGCGGAGAGCATGTCCAAAGCCATTTTTCTCGATGCCTTGATTTCATGCTGCAGCGAAATCTCTCTCGATTGCCTCTTTTATCTTTTCTTTGCCAACCCGTCTCTTGCCAGATTCCTTCAATGATGTCGATTGAACGCCGCAACCAGCAATTACTTGAATGAATGTTGCAATGCGCCTCATGCCGTTGCACGAAGCAGCCAGTAAATCTTGTCCAACAACTCCTTTGCCTCAGGTGTCCTTTTGCCTAATGTTGCCTCAGTGATATCAAGCGACGTTCTAAGCGCATCCAATGCTCCCTCATAGTCTCCTTTGCTTTGCAAGGCGCCACCAATATTGTTGTATGATCCCACCAACTTGTAATGGTTCGCCCCATAGACTTCCTCTCGAATCTTTAGCGCCTTTTTGTGCTCTTCAACTGCTTCATCAAACCTGCCCATTTCGTGGAGCACACTCCCAATGTTGTTGTAGCTTGTGGCGACATCGGGGTGATCTGGACCCAGAACAGCCTGCTTTATCTTGAGTCCTTTTCGATAAGCCTCCAAGGCTTCGGGGTATTTGCGCTGGTACTGCAAGATCGCGCCAATGTTCGTGTGCTGCGTGCTGTGTAAGCGTGATCTTCACCAAGTACACTTTCAAATACGGCCAAGGCCCTTTCGTACTCTACAAGCGCACCTTCCAAGTCCCCTTTGGCTTTGAGAATCATCCCAATGTTGTTAATGGAGGCAGCCGTGTCGGTGTGGTCTTTACCCAAAATGTTTTCCTCAATGGCCAAGGCTTTCCGTGTCTCTTCGAGTGCACCATCATAGTTGCCTTTATTGAAGAGCTGGCTCCCCAGGATCCCATAGAGACTGGCAGTGTCGGGGTGATTGTGACCATTGCATGTTTCGCGTATTGCAATGGCTTTTCTGCAGTGTTCAATGGCCGAATCGTAGTCTCCCATCTCCTCCATCACTGAACTAATACTCCCATAAGACTCGCCAATGGCCTCGTGATTCTCGCCTTTGAGCTGTGCTCGCCGGATAGCTAGAGCCTTGCGATGCTCGTCAAGGCTTTGTTGATACAGACCTTTGGCTTCCAGGGCAGCCCCGATTTGGCGGTGAGAAGTGGCCGTGTCAAGATGGTTCTTTCCCAATGCAGATTGTCGGATTTTCAGGGCTCTTTCGTGCGCCTCTAAAGACGCATCGTAGTCTCCCTTGGAATAGAGGATGATGCCAATGATGCTCAGCGACAGTGCGACATCAGGGTGATTCTCGCCGCGTGTATTTTCCCGGATGGATTTGGCCTTGTGGATACTTTCCAGAGCGGCGTCATTCTCTTCATTGTTATTCAACAAGACTCCGACAAGATGGCAAAAGTTAGCATACCTTATGTCGCGCCATACTTGAATCAAGCCGCAGAGGAAGTATCGGGACCACAGGCTCTGGGTCTGAATGGCCCGTTTGGCTTCCTTCTTGGCAACCAGTTGCGTGATAACCCCGCGGATCCAACCTCGCAACAGCTCATTGACACGGTTGTTGAGTATAGCATATCCCGGATTTACTTTCACGATATCCAAAATCGCAATACGATCCTTTTCAAAGGTTGCTTTGGCATTCTGTACCTTGGTACTGGCCAAGACTTCGTACAGACGGTCTAAATTGTCAGTCTTTGGATTATTGCCAAACAAGAGATCTTTTTCTAACGCTTTGGTCTGAGCGGGTGGCATGGCAATGATGATATTGCAGCCTTTCTGGTAGGCAGTGTAGATTTCAAAAACTGCACAAATTCAGAAGTGAAGGAGTTTGGAAACCGGAGAGTTGGTAGAATGTGAGGTTCATTCCGGACACCTCGTCAATGCGACTAAATGTATGTACGTACCACACCAGACTCTGGTCAAATAAGTTGGGGCACTCCAAGGAGCCATCATGGCAACGATGGTTCCAATCGATGTGACTCGATCCCCAAAAAGAGACAAAAAGTCCACAGTTTCCGTTTCCACGGTGCCTTTTTCTTCCAGCATTGTCTGTTTAACAACGCGGTGTTGATTGATGCATAGACAGCAGATCCACACGTAGGTCCGCTTGGGATTTTTGTCATTCTTGTCGCAAAAGTCCACCAGAGTGTCAATGATATCCCCAATCGCATATTTCCACGAATAGCTGAGCATATGAGTTGCATCTCCAACATTGTCGACTCCCTCGACACAATGCACATATGCCGAACCAGGTTTTCCATCGATTGGGCATGTTTTCTTTTGACTCTTTTTTCGAATCACTCCCGGTGAACCGGATAGATCTTCAATCTCATAGACAGGAGCCGTCCTGGAAAAACCTGCTGCTCGAATTTCCTTGGGCAACTGTGTCTGCAAGTAGTGCACACTGAGGGCAAGTTGGTTCAATTCTTTTTGACGAGATTCGGACACAATCGGTTGGATGGTTGACAATTTGCCTTGTCGTTGGGTTGGCCGTACAGGAGCTCTGGAAACACCGGTCTTGTTGATGCTTCTGCCCAGCCCTCGGGTGGAAGGAAGCTTGATGGGATAAGCCAAATCTTCTTCAGGAGGGAACTTTCGAACCTTCGAGAATGATTGACGTCTCCGTTTACTAACATCTTTCGTCATGGTCGCTGCGATAATGTGCCCCCAGATGGTTCGTCAACAAGGGAAGAGAGACAACGTCCACCGTGGTTGGTGGTACCGGTATTGGTTGGGCGGTTGGGCTTGGGCTTCGGTTGCTCTGAAATAAAATATTACTGCCTTCCAGTCGTGGATATTATTCAAACCACCCTAGCTAGTTGAACACTTCGCATTGCCATTCCTTTCTTTCGGCACCTCGGCAAACAAGTTGCCGGTACTGCAGAGTGCGGCAATGGGACGTCTGCGTGAAACTAGCCGTTAGTTTCACCCAAGGCTTGTGCAATACACGGCTCTTAGCCTTATTCGCGACTCGATCCTAGATAGGGTTTGAGTTCGACTCATGACTGAGTCTTTCGTGAATAGTCATTGAGACAGGGTTCTCATGACCGCTAGTCATACTAGGTCGATGGTGAAACATCGCGCTAGATATTTAGCTGGCATGGAGAGATTCCACGCTACTAGATAAATGCTAGACGAATCTTCCACGCGTTCCGTTTTTGGATCGTGGAGTGAGTAGGATTGCTACCGCAACCTACTCTATCACACGTTACAGTCTCCCGCGGGAGTTCAGATCTACGATCCTTTGATTGTGGATCTCTCTGGTTGATTAGTTTTCATAGCTTTCTAATCCTCTCATAACTTTCATTCTCTCAAACTCAAAACACTCGAAAGATCTTTACACTAGCTTTTAGCGTAGTGCATTTTGTTAACAAACACAATAGCTTTCAGCTACCCTCAACATATTCCTCACCATGAAGATTGCCAAAGACACGTACACCAGCTTCGAGTCTAAGCTGCGCGACAAACCAATCCTTCCTCTCATCGACCTCGACGATGAATGCGAAATCGACGATTCTCGCGCTACCACCTACAAACTTCGCACTGTTCCAGCAGATGCTAACAGCGCCTGTTGGAGGTTGTATTACAGACACCCCAATACAAATTATTCGTTTATCCCAATCTAGTTTAGAGGGGATATCTATATCAATTCTCTAGTTACATACATGGGGAGTTTA